ACGATTGGACCGTGACGATTGGACTTACAGCCTCATCGTGTTTCATGGCGAGTGGTCTGTCGCCATGGCAACGGCATTTGATGACACCCCATACTACGCTTAGATGCATTGATGGCTGCATCGTTATCAAACCTGTGAAGTTCTGGGCTGTTTGGAGTATTTTCACTGAAGTTATGAGAACCGTGTTTCAAGGCGAGCATTGTGTTGCCATGGCAACGGCATTTGGAGAACTCTCCAAACTGTCCCGAATCGTCTTCACAGCTGGACTGTTGAAGTCTGCTGCATGTCAGTTGGAGTGATGACATCATCGTGTTCCATTACACAGGTGTTTATAGTTGAGCTAACGAGCTCTGTAGAGATCACAGGTTTCCATTGTTCTGAATGAGATATGAACCTCTTACATGTGAACGTTTTGTGGAAGAACCGTAACAGATATCTGTGAAATTTCAAAACGTGAAGCATGTCAAGGAAGTTGAGTATCTGAAGTGTAATTTTTGTGTACTTTCGGGTTAATAATGTGGCCTTTTTGGCAGTTTAACTAAAGGTGTGCGGCTGCTGCCGTGAGGAAATATCAGCCTGAAATTACAATGAGCTTTGATGGAGGAATGTTGAACGTTTTTGTCACTTCATGCCCTCAAGAGGCATTTTGTTTAATTATTTTGCTTAATTATTTGTCATTTTTCAAGCTACGAGGTGTTTTCCTACGTTTGTCATGAAAAGTTATGTCCCAGGAATGTAGGGTTTGGGAATTATGACAGTTTTAAAACAAATATATGAAGGCACATTTCAAGATTTCTTACCCTCTAGCTGTGACATCACGCACTCTAGTTAATGTTAAAATGTGAATAAAACCTCTAAAACAAGGTCTGAACAAATGTTAATATCTCTAAAAGTAAGAATCAGATTTAAAAGTTTTTATACACGAATAATGTCAGAAAGATTTGTAACATTTGAAAGTTGGAATGAGGTTTCTGAGTGAAAGTATGAATGAACAGTTAGCAGTTGAAGTCGCATGAAGATTTGTTGAAGTCTGAAGATTTCCTCCATTGACTTCAATGTTAAAAATGTGATGCATTATGGGATGTATCTGGAATTATGAAAGTTATGAATGAGAAAAGTAATAGCCATCGATTCCGGACCGAGCTGAATGTTTTGATGTTTGAACGAAGTTTCTGCGATGTTCAATTGCGGGAGAAGAAGAGGGCCAAAATAACCCGGCGGAATAATAATAATAAAAATGTTGTCCGTAGAAGAACATTATTTAGTGGGAATGCTGTAAACAGCATTCCCACTAAATAATGTATTGAAAAGTTATTTGGCTGATTGTTGTATATCGGCTCAGACAGGTTATATGGGAGGCCTAGTCTACGTACAGATCACTCATTTTGAAATATTAAACTTAGTTTTCTTTTCTTTAATTTGTCATCCTCGTGTAGAAGGCTATCACGAAACACCTATTTCGTTGTTTATAGCATAAAGAACATCTGATTTAATGTGAGGTAGAGAAATAATCATTTGAGTATGTGTATATAAATATGTAATTTACAACAGCTGTAAGATGCTGGAAAATGCACCTTGAAAGTGCTTGAAAAGTGCTTGAATTTGACTTTGGAAAAGGTGTAAGAACCCTGTCTCTCTTTTTGTCCTGATCCATTTATATAAAAACCTGTCTGAAAATGTGCTCTTTTTTTATCAACTTTGGCCACTTTGTGATGTCATGTATTTTTTGGCTTGTGTAACCATTAGCCAATCAGCAACCAAGGCGCCCCCCCCCCCCCCCCCACCTTATCAGCTTCCTTATTTTCATCTAAAGTAACAGACAGAGAATCAGCACTTTGGAAACAGGGCTGAAACAGAGGGGGTTATGGGTAATGCTGGCAATGATCTGTTGGTGTTTTCAGCCAATCAGAGACAGGTTCTGTATAGGGGTGGGCGATATGACGATATATATCGTCGTGACGATATTAGGTCTCCACGATATACTTTTTCAGAGATATCGTATCTATCGTGATTAAAAAAAAAAAATAATAATAATAATTGAGAAAAAAAAAACTGATGTGAAAGACAGCTGTCTCGTCAGGATTCAGACAGTATTGCACTTCATTTATTGTCTTGTTTGATTCTGTTGGCTTATATTTTATTGTATTTGCGTGCATATGAAACACTAACCATTCCCATTGAGATCATTAAAACTGTCATTTGAACGGCGATCAAAGCTGAAGCCACAGAGACGGACACGATCCCCTGTCCGGCTAGGGTTAGGGTGAGCCAACACACTCTCACTCCCTAAGCGTCCAGGAGCGACGTTTGGTCAGTGTCCGCGGCGTGCAGTTGTGACGCTCCTAGTAGGGCTGTGCAATTAATCGTATTTTAATCGCGATTACGATTATGGCTTGCGACGATTAGGAAAACAGCATAATTGACAAAATACGATTATTTTTGCTGGGTGCGCTTTCGCCCCTCCTTAAAAGCCCACTCGGCCACGTGGGAGTGACATGTGTTGTGAGTGTTCAGCGCAAGCGAAGATGTCAGAACAAGAGCAGCAACTAGTTAAAAAGAAGGGTCGCGGGGAGATGCCCAGTCGATCGCGAGATGTGTCTAAAAATAGAACAACAATATTCTGTTTTATCGTTAATGTCCTGTAACATAATGTTCCCGTGCCAGAATAATGCACTTGAACGCATCAAAGCTTTGTGATTGGCCGGCCTCACCCCATGTGTCGGGGCGTGGCTGGTGAGCAGTGCACTAGTTCGCTGACGTTGTCCGTGTCAACAGCATGGATGGTCAACAGGAGTGACAGTCCGCACACACACAAGACCGCAATTATGGCAGAAGCAAAAAAGCCCAAAATATATAATGTTCACTCCGAATGGGAGGATCATTATTTTTGTATATATTCCAATTCAAAGTCCATCTGTCTCATCTGCAATGCGAGCGTGACTTTATCGAAGAAGGAGAATTTAGGAGCGGCATTTCAAAACAGTGCACAAACGCTACGAGACGGAATTCCCTCCTAATTCCGCCCTATGCTCCAAAAGGGGAGGGGCCTGAGAGCACAGCTAAATGCACAGCAGTCCATTTTCACCAGGCCCAACAACAAGAGCAAGGCTGCTACCAGAGCATCTTATCGTGTCAGTCACGTTCTGGAGAAACACATGAAGTCTTTCAAAGACGGCGAAGTTGTGAAAGAAGCTTTCCTGGAGGCTGCGACGCGCTTTTGGGGGACAGTAAAAATAACAGCAGCATTTCAACAGGTTTTTGATATAATAAAAACTCAATTTAGATACCGTTATTAATCTGCTGTAAGTTTTAGTTTGTTTGAACTTATTCATGATAATTATTGTACAAAATGGTATAAGAATGCAAACATTAAGATCTGTTCTGTTTAAATTGATTATAGTCTATCAGTTCAGAAACTAGTGTTGCTTGCATCCTATTTTTTAAAGGCATTTCTTTTTATACTCTAATAAAATGCAACAACAAATGGGTTTGATTCTATTAATGTTGTCTTTTTTATTGCACTGTTGCTGCAGCAGATTACTGAGTAGCTTCAGATCTGAGTTGTCTTATTAGTAAGCCTAATTTATACTTTTGTAGCAACACTATTTTATATAATGGCAAAGAAAGGGTTCTTCAGAGTCTTTTCTTTTTTTCCTGTGTCATATGTGGCAGCACTGCCACAAGTTCCTCTTCAGAGAGGGTCTTCAGTACAGGTTATCGTCACCTGCCTGCGCTCATCTCTGAAACCAGACCATGTAAACAGGCTGGTGTTTATTGCAAAACATCTTTAACAGATGACACGAGCAGCCCTACCAGCATTTGCCATGGTGGCCTAAACATTTTTATTTGGTCTTAAATTGTAGTTCAACATTTATTTCCTGTTACTTCTGGACCATGACGGTTGGCCAGCCTTCAACGTTTAACTGAGTGGAATATGTTGAATATGTTGAACCAAAATGTTGGCTATATGTTAAGGAGTGTTCAGTAGGTTGTGACAGTGCACTGCAACATATTTGATTTCATTTATTTTGGTCTAATTTATTTGTATTTATCATATTAATATATGTTTAGTATGGTTTTGGAAGTGCGCTCCAACATATTTGTTCTTGTTTATTGGTAAAATATTATTTGTTTTAAAGTTCAATAAATGGTCAATGAATAATCGTCAAAATAATCGTGATATCAATTATTGACCAAATAATCGTGATTATGATTTTTGCCATAATCGCACAGCCCTAGCTCCTAGGCTCCTTCAGCGTCATAAAGGGACGCAAATAGCTTTCAACTGATTGCAATGTATTCCCATCTGCGGCGGGATTTGACGGCAGGGGAAGAGGCTCTCCGTGCGCGGCGCAGGGGGCTATGACAGCGGACGGAGAGCCTCTTCCCCTCCCGCTCCCCCAGCCTCACCTACTGATTTTAATTTCACCATATATCAAGCCCGATCGATTTCACAATGTCAGCGCACCTCTGCTTTCGTGTTGGTAGTTCAGTCCGAGTTGTTTGACACGCGAGTGCTAGTGCTAGCTCAGAAAGTTCATTTTTATACTGAGAAACTGTGCCTTGAACTTGAAGCCATATCAAAATGTTGAATTGTTCATTCAGGGATTCATTTCAGAAATAAAACCAGCTTGAAATGCTATTTTGGTCTGTTACTCCTTTTTGTTTTAGTTTCTGTTACCTTGTAGGTGCTTGTACTGTTAAGTAACTTGAAAAATAACCATAATTAAAACTGCGGTCGCACTTGTGCGCGCAGTGATGAGCGGGCCCTCGCGTCCGTGCGCCTGTCGGGGAGGGCGGCAGGTCGTCCCGGCGTCAAGCAGACGTGCGCGAGTCCTGGGAAATGAGCCGTTTCTCATTTCTATAATTTTCACGTCCCAGACTCCCAGGTGCTCCGGCAGCGACCCGGAAACGGATGTCGAAGGAAAACAAATTTCTCTAAAGGGTCGTCGAGGATAGATTATCGAGGAGGCTGTCTGGAGGAGCCGTAACCGAGGATACACTGATTTAAAGGAGAGAGGAGTGTCTCTGGAGGAGCTATAACCGAGGGTACACTGAAGTATTCTCCTGAGACGATTTCAGCCAACAGTGATGTTTAAAAGAGGCGTGACGCATGTCTGGACTTCTGTCAAACGAAGCACAGCTCTGCAAACTGTTCCCGTTGTGATTATAAGTTATTTGAGATGATCAAATGTGCATCAGACTTTCTGCCCTGTACCGTTTGTTTACTCACTAATGACATGTCCCCTGGATGTTAGGTGATGTTACAGTGAGAACAGCTGCTGAGGTCAGTGCAGAAAGAAGAACAGTGTGTATAATATATATCGCTCAATAACAAATGTAACAGGCCTACATGTCACACTTTATTTGTAGACTTTAGGAGATATCTACAAATAAACATTAGGGTTAGGGTTAGGGGTTAGGGTTAGCGAGTGTCTTTTGTAATGAATATGCCGCCAGCAAAGGTCGTTGTTGGACTGTGTGTGTGTGTGTGTGTGTGTGTGTGTGTGTGTGTGTGTGTGTGTGTGTGTGTGTGTGTGTGTGTGTGTGTGTGTGTGTGTGTGTTGTGTGTGTGTGTGTGTGTGTGTGTGTGTGTGTGTGTGTGTGTGTGTGTGTGTGTGTGTGTGTGTGTGTGTGTGTGTGTGTGTAGTGTGTGTGGTGTGTGTGTGTGTGTGTGTGTGTGTGTGGTGTGTGTGTGTGTGTGTGTGTGTGTGTGTGTGTGTGTGTGTGTGTGGTGTGTGTGTGTGTGTGTGTGTGTGTTATAATGGGTCAAAAATGGTACATTCTCCGTTAGCCTACGAGCTCCCCGTTTGAGCGAAAGACTATTCCTTCTCAAAGTAGCATGACATTGGATATGCGCTGAAGTTGTCCTGGATTGGAATTTTTCCGATCATTCCCCTAGGAGGAGTTTGCAAGAATGTGCTTAAAAAGCATGAAAAATGCACATTTTTCTAAATGGCTGACTTTTTGGGGGGCGGGGCTAATGGAAGGCAATGTGAAATATGTGTGCAATCATAATAGCAATATGTATACAGCGTTTCGTGAATATCGGAATAACTATATTCGAGTAGTTTGGAGTAATTTGCGCCATGTAAATCGTCAAAAATGGTGTATTCGCTGTTAGCTTACGACCTCCACGAGTAATTTTTCAAAAATGTGCTCTGCAATGAAGTATCATATTGGATAGGGGCTAAACCTGTCCTGCATTGGAATTTTTCCGATCATTCCCCTAGGAGGAGTTGGTAAGAACATGCGTAAAATGGCTGAAAACCGCACATTTTCAAAATGGCCGACTTTCTGGGGGGCGGGGCTAATGAAAGGCAATTTGAAATATGTGTGCAATCATAATAGCAATATGTATACAGCGTTTCGTGAATATCGGAATAACTATATTCGAGTAGTTTGGAGTAATTTGCGCCATGTAAATCGTCAAAATGGTGTATTCGCTGTTAGCTTACGACCTCCACGAGTAATTTTTCAAAAATGTGCTCTGCAATGAAGTATCATATTGGATAGGGGCTAAACCTGTCCTGCATTGGAATTTTTCCGATCATTCCCCTAGGAGGAGTTGGTAAGAACATGCGTAAAATGGCTGAAAACCGCACATTTTCAAAATGGCCGACTTTCTGGGGGGCGGGGCTAATGAAAGGCAATTTGAAATATGTGTGCAATCATAATAGCAATATGTATACAGCGTTTCGTGAATATCGGAATAACTATATCCGAGTAGTTTGGAGTAATTTGCGCCATGTAAATCGTCAAAAATGGTGTATTCGCTGTTAGCTTACGACCCTCCACGAGTAATTTTTCAAAAATGTTCTTCTCAATTAAGTATCATATTGGATAGGGGCTGAACGTGTCCTGGATTGGAATTTTTCCGATCATTCCCCTAGGAGGAGTTGGCACGAATGTGCTTAAAATGCATAAAAACGCACTTTTTTCAAAATGGCCGACGTTTTGGGGGGCGGGGCTAATGGAATGTATATACAAATATGTCTGCAATTCCATGAGGAATGTTTGTGCCAAAAATCGTGAAGTTCTGAGAAACTATATGCGATTACCACACAATAGGGGGCGCTAGTGAGCAGTTTTTTTGAAAATGTACGTTTTTTTTTTACATTCTCGAAAAAGTCGTGGGCTCTGACGTGTGACCCAAGTTTTGCGTCCGAAGCTCTTTTTATGCTATCGCAATTTTAAAAAAAAGTATAGGCCACGCCCACATTCTGAATTTGTTGCGACACTTTAAATCTGAGTTCGTAGTCACCCCGAGAGTAGGTGTAAAAAAAAATAAGAAGAATTCGTACATCCGCTCTTGAGTTATAAATTGGTGGTGTTTTTGGCGCCCCCTATAGTCTTAAATGAAAATTATTTGGTGTGCCTATTTGCCAAGACAGATTGAAGCTTTCCACCAAAATCTGTGGTGAATGGATACATTGTTGATGAGTTATGAGCATTTCTTTATAAGCCCCGCCTTTTTGCGAGTACGTTTTAATTAATGGTGGAAATATGTATCGTTTGAACATGCTCATCTCCTAGGGTAATGTGTCTGACCCTCCACCGATGCTATATACGAAGTTTGGTGTTGAAAAACTGAAAATTGAAATTTAAGTGAATATTTAACTGTTTATGTAAATTTGACAATTACAAAAATATATATGTAGGCGGAGCTTAGGGTTCCAATTGGATTATTTGTAGAGCAGGTCCACCCGGATATGTGTGCAAAATGTCAGGTCATTCGGAGTTACGGTGCGACTTTGTGAATTTTTCCAAAATGGAATTGAGATAGGTGGCGCTAGCGAGCAAGTTGGAATATTTTAACCCATTGACTCCAGAATATTGTATTTTTCACCGGTTCTGGAATCCGTGCAAAATTATACAACTTTTTCAGCATCCTAAAGGCCTCAAAAACAGGAAACGCTGGCAGAAATATAATAAGAAGAATTCCACGAATAACAATAGGTATCCTTGCACTTCGTGCTAGGACGCCGTTGGGTCCTAGCACTCTCGTGCTCGGGCCCTAATAATACCACGAATAACAATAGGTATCCTTGCACTTCGTGCTAGGACGCCGTTGGGTCCTAGCACTCTCGTGCTCGGGCCCTAATAATACCACGAATAACAATAGGTATCCTTGCACTTCGTGCTAGGACGCCGTTGGGTCCTAGCACTCTCGTGCTCGGGCCCTAATAACCGACATGAAAAAATATCGTGATATATATCGTCTAGGGATGCTCCGATCGCCAATTTCGGGGCCGATCGAGTGGGCGGGGCCTAAATGGAAGATTTAAACATCACTTTAAATCTTCCATTTAAAGTGATGTTTAAACTCAGTTAATGGGGCTCATTCACTGGAGCTTCCACAAACAACAATCAACTTAATTATTACATTCAAATGATGTACATTATTCAAGTTTACATTCACTTTGGAGAATAACACGGGAGAAATGAGCGGAAGGGCTCTCTTTTCCTCTCTCCCTCTCCTGACAGCCTGTCAGTATCTCATGCAGCTCACTGATCCAGTAATGAGTGACCCGACAATGAAGAATAAATATATTGATAATAACTAGTTTAGCTTGTTCCAGAGGTATAAAATAGCTAAGTGTGTTAGGTCTAACTCTTACGGTACGTCCACACAGCAGCTTTTCAAAAATCTTGAAAATCTTGGAGCTGGGCGTGTCTGACAGCTTGGGGATTTTTTGCGAGCAACGCGACCAACAACCAATCACATGAATCTCCCGCCCCCGACATACAAAGCAAAAAACCCCGGGGATTTTATGCGAGCTATATATATATATAAACTCCCCAAACAGGCGAAAACCTACCAGTTCCACCCACTGTCTCTGCCACCTCCCTCCATGCCTGGTTCCTCCGGTTTGTATCCCGTTAATAGTTCTGGTCGTAAAGAACCGGGTGATTTGCTACCGTAATTTCTCGTTTGGAATATGAGGAAATGAACTGCGGTCTGGTTCTCCCTGTGTGTGTGTTTCGCTGCGCTTTCCGGTCCGGCGGGCGGAGCTGCAGGATTTCTGCTTCACGTTGCATACCGCTATTTTACTGTCTTTTTCGGACACCTTAAAATAATGCCAGACCGGTGAAGCCATTTTGGCGAGCTTGTTTTGCCGCACACAGAGAAAAGTGTCATGTATTTTACGTCATGCGATCGGCTCTCGCGATCGGCATGTTTAGAGAGCACCGATCGATCGGTAGAGAGTGAGTATCGGCCGATCTCGATCGGTGAAATATCGTCTATCGTGATACTGCTTGAAAAATATCGTGATAATATATTTTTCAATATCGCCCACCCCTAGTTCTGTATATATCTGAGACCTGTGATATATTGATGAAAAACAGTATGATAAGGGACCTTTAAGTAAATGGCGTACTTTTACTCCACTACATGTATTTAATACCGTTAGTTACATTTTGTTGCCGAGTTACATTTTGCAACCCTGTGTTTGATTAGATGAATTCATTTTTTTCTTTTTCTCTTGTTTTCTCTTTTATTAGAACAATTCTGGAGAACTGGATCTGCTGAGGAAGGAGCTGCCATCCACACAGGACCCCCGTGGTGCTGGAGGAATCTAAACGGCATCAGGGACATCATCCTCCCAAACCTCTGCTTCCTGCCGTCCAGCTGAACAGCAGCTCAGGAAGCTTCAGACAGTGTGTTGAACGGGAAGTGGTGATTTAGTAAACATGAGTGTTGTCCTGCTCTCGTTGGTGAAGCAGCGACTCACTGCGGCTGCTGAAGACATCTTTGTTCTGTTTGAAAGAACGATAGCAGAGTACGAGGAGGAACTGTCTCGTTCAAAACAGGAGCACGAGAGACACCGGAAACTACTGGACGCTGTTTTACAGCCTCAGCTTCAGATCCACAGAGCAGGTCTGTTCCCTCTTTATTCACTCTCTCTTTTTATAAAAAGGAACTCACATTGTGGTATAACACTCTTCAGAAAGTTGTAGGGATAGACCTGTTGGACGAAAAAAAACCGCTATTGTCTCAGGAAGCATGTAACTACTATGAAAAAAGGTTTGAAAGAAAGCAAAAGAGCGAAGAAACTGAAAATGTCTAAATAATTTCAACATGATAATGCAACACTGGGTGTCTCCTCTCTGCTGTGTGTACCTGTCTGTTCTTTTTCTCTGTCTTTGACCTGTTTAACCCTGAGCCTGTTTTTCGGGTCTCAGGCTCGAAAATGACATTCCCAGAACAAATGACTATTTCTTCCCTTTTTAAAACGGGTAAATGCACAATCTTTTTTCTCTAAGCAATGATAAACCTGTGAGTTGGATGTAGAAAAGTTTGTTTAATTTAATGTAAATTCAGATTGAACATAGTAAAAAAAATGTAAATGATAGTGTCCGTCCAAAATCCTTTTTTACTTATAGAGAAAACCACCCTTGAATGATGGGATGGTAGACTAAAAGCTTAGTCTGTATCAAGATTGATGCAAAACAAGTGACATTTGACCTTTTTAGAGAGATTTAGCAACAAAAAAAACACTTCTGGGTCATTTGGGTGGATTTTCCATATCTCTGGCCCCCCTCGTTCGATTTTGATGATTGACATCTCTTTTTAACTGTTAGAGCCAATATAATCTAGGGGAAGTTCCTAAAATCCATCTAAACATTACCCATTGGTGACTGAGTGCTGCGCAGCCAGAATGCCCCCAATCAGGCACGTGTATCTGTATTTCAGTTATTAAAAGACAAGCTAGACACTAGTGTGCAGGGAGAGTGTGTTATACTGGGGGGGGACTGGAACGCTTGCACTAATGTCACTTAAGACAGAATAGGACGGGAGCCTCATCCTCAGTCGTCCCTTTTACTGTCACAGGTGATAAGAGAGGCTGACTTAGTGGATGTGTGGAGGATGAAGCACCCCTCTGTTAAACAATACACCTGGATGAGAATGCTAGATGGGGGCGTCAGTGCAGCTAGGCTAGACATGTCTGCTTCTTTTATTACTCGTGCAGTGAACTGTCACATCCAGGTGATTGTCAAGGTTTGAAAAGTGCTTGAATTTTGGGAATGGTGCTTGAATTTGGGATAAAGTGCTTGAAATTGTAAATGCTTTACTTCACCTTTTAGATTAAAAGAAAATAAAGAAGTCGGAGCGTGCTTAATTGCTTCGCTTCTACATAAAACAGCTCTGCTCCGGCCTATGCACGTGACAGGCAAGTGTTTGTGTTACGTGTGACCTGGGCATTCTGATGAGTGATAGATGACTGTGTGCCAGGAGGTTGCCGTTTCAACGAGCGTTGGCTAGCAGAAGACAAATACAAGCCATGGCTGGGACGAGGGACAAGCCCACGAGTAGCCTCCTGCAAAGTTTGCAAAAATAACGATGCGATGGTCTGCGCTGACGAGCCACATGAAAGGTACGCCGTAGTAGAGCATTTTAGATTAGGCTAACGTTGCATGTTACGTTTGTTTAAGCTAACGTTAGCGAGCTGAATAGCAAACTCGATTGAGGGATAATAATAATTGCAGGGGACAATCCTTTCAGAGGAGCGTACCTATGTTATGTGCGTTACAGTCGCCATCCTGTGGTGTTCAGAGGATGAAGCACTCACGGCATTTCGTGTTATAGTCACGAAATATAATCTATTGATTCGACACAGAGCGATTTTGAAAGCAATGTATTTCTACTGGTAGTATGTTTCGTGCCTAAACTAGGGATGGGAATGATTAATCGAATATTCGAAATTATCAGGTATTCGAATAATTATTCAGGTATTCGAATATGATTTATGAATATTTTTTTTTTGGGAGGGATGCCTAAGTTGATTACATATTATCAAATTGAATAGTTCAATGTATACGACAGTGCCATTGCTAAATGTGTCAGGTCTAAAAGTGTGTTTTGCTCTGCTCACCGGTCCCTTACAGCGGGCCGAGCTGCAGGTGCTGATCTCTCTCTCTCTCTCGCGTCCGGTTATACTTCACTCGCGTTAATGTCCAAATCCATCAGATTTACCTAGTTCTAGCCAATGATATGGCTGCTGCCCCTCCCTACACGCAGATCACGCAGACTCAAACCTCATCTTATGCCCAAATGCGGCGCAAATGAGCTTCGCAGCCGTTGCGAGGTTCCGGCGCTAACAGTTAATGAGCGTGCTCCCCCGCCCCCTGTCAACACTCGCTGCTTGGCAACAGTGTGTTGCTGGTATTCAACATATTTTACCAGTCATAGTCCGGTAATTATTTACACTCTAATGAAGAGTCCTACACAACAGACATAGCGTCATATTTAGGTCTGGCCGGTTTCTGATCCCCCTTTTTGAAAAGGAGAACCACCACCCCGGTCTGCCACTTCTTCTGTACTGTTTCAGACTTCCACGCAATGTTGATGATACGTGTCAACCATGACAGTCCCTCAACACCCAGAGCCTTCAGCATTTTTGGGGCTTTGCCACTGTGGAGTTGTTTGACTACGTCAGTGACCTCCCCCCGGGAGATTGGTGTTGATCCCCCGTCATCCTCCAGCTCTGTTGGAAACGTCATTTCGATCTCTTTGTCTGTACACACAAGCTTGAAGATTGACATTAAAGCTGACTTTGACTTTGAACTATGGCTTTTAAGTTTTGAGAAAAGAGTCAGAATAGTGATAACACTGAGATTTTCAGAAACAAATCTGAATTCTTGTATTTAAATATAAATCAGAATTTAGGTATTTTCTGAAGAAAAGTCAGAATTCTGTACTGGTTAGAGATTGTTAGGAAAACTATTTTCCAAAATGTTGAGATGAATATCTGAAATTTTAAGATACAAATTTGAAATTCAGAGATTTTCCTAAAAAGTCAGGATTTTCTAAAAGATTCTGAACTTTGAGAAAAATGTAGGATTTTTGGTAGAATCAGAATTCTGAGATTAAAACAAAAAGATATTTAAATCAACAGGGAATTGATTAATTGCCTTTGGACGAATGACAGGCAGCAAGCTTACACTGAAACTGGTTCTCAGTGTTTTATATTTACATGAAGCAACTACATTCACTGACTTTTATCATTAGCTGTGTTTCTCAAAGACATACATGTATTGGATGACCGGGTCCCATTGGTCCAACTTCAACATTTTGAGAAGAAGAGCTGAATTTTGAGAGAAACTACGCCCCCACGCTCTCCTTGTCCAAACTAAGCAGTGTAACTAAGTTTTAGATCAGCTACTAGAAAAAAAGGTGTAATTATTGACTATTGAGACAACAGAAAAACTAAGGGGGAGGGGCTTAGAAAAATGATATGCAAGCATTTAAGGAATGTATAAGTTAAAGAAGTGTTAATCGTGGTTAGATTTTAAATTATAATACTCCATAGTTTCTCTGAATATGTGTTCCCTGTTTCCTGCAGACGTCCAGCAGCTGGTGGTTAAAGAAGAGGTTCCCCCTGAGCAGCAGGAGTGGAGCTCCAGTCTGGACCAGGAGGACCCAGAGCCCCCCCCACACATTAAAGAGGAACAGGAGGAACTCCGGATCAGTCAGGAGGGAGAGCAGCTTCAAGGGCTGGAGGAGGCAGATATCACCAAGTCCACATTCACTCCTGTCCCTGTGAAGAGTGAAGATGATGAAGTGAAACCTCAGTCCGCTCAGCTTCATCAAACTCAAACTGAGGACAACAGAGAGGCAGAGCCTCCAGCCAGCAGCTCAGCTGAACACATGGAAACAGAAGCTGATGGAGAGGACTGTAGAGGACCAGAACCAGCCAGGAACTCAGATCCAGAGAGACATTTACAACCAGAGACTGAGGACAACTCTGGAGACTCTTCTGAACCTGGGACTGAAGACAGTGCTGATTGGAAGAAGAGCAGAGAACCAGGCCTAAGACATAAGTGTGTTGGTCGTCAGTCCTCACAGCTTCATCAAACTCAAACTGAGGAGAACAGAGAGGGAGAGCCTCCAGCCAGCAGCTCAGCTGAACACATGGAAACAGAAGCTGATGGAGAGGACTGTGGAGGACCAGAACCAGCCAGGAACTCAGATCCAGAGAGACATTTACAACCAGAGACTGAGGACAACCCTGGAGGCTCTGCTGAACCTGACACTGGAGACTCTTCTGAACCTGACACTGGAGACTCTTCTGAACCTGACACTGGAGACTCTTCTGAAACTGACACTGGAGACTCTTCTGAACCTGACACTGGAGACTCTTCTGAATCTGACACTGAAGACTCTTCTGAACCTGACAGTTCAAGACGTCGTGCAGGAGATAAACCATTCAGATGCTCAGTCTGTAAGAAATGTTTTACACAGGGAGGAGGTTTAAAGATGCACATGAGAATCCACACAGGAGAGAAACCATTCAGCTGCTCAGTCTGTAAGAAATCATTTACACAGAGAGGAAGTTTAAAGGAACACATAAGAATTCACACCGGAGAGAAACCATTCAGCTGCTCATTGTGTGAGAAATCATTTCAGCGGAGTGAAAATTTAAAGAAACACATGAGAAACCACATAGGACAGTGCAGGATTGCAGTGTTTGTGACAAAATAATATCAAAAGATATATATATATATATATCAAAAGTGTGTTGGTCGTCAGACCTCACTGCTTCATCAAACTCAAACTGAAGAGAACACAGAGGCAGAGCCTCTAACTCAGATCCAGAGAGTCCCTCTAAGTGATATGACATTTGACACATATAATTTTTTGTGTTGCTATAGGTCAAATCTGAATGTGCACCAAAAAAAGAGGACAATTAATTTGTCCCATGACAATACATACAGAAGAACAATCTGTCAACCTGTATAAACTCTGTTTGACAATATTCATATGAACTCCATCTTTATTAATATTCATGGACAATATATTTAATGTTGTTCTCATACTGATTTTTTCATATACTATAACCATTGATTGTCGATAAACCATTTTATTGTGAGTATAAG